AGGACGGAAAAGGGCTGTCGTGGGAGAGGTGAGGGTTTCTTGTTATCCCTGGCTGGAGAAGCCAAGAGAAAATGAGCCCAATGGCGGAGGGGCCCTCTCATTCCTCTTGACCTCCAAACGACGGTGAAAAGACAAGGAAGGACCTCGATCCTGCTCACGAGAGAAAAGCAGACGACTTTGAGAACTCTGTCGAAGGTTCTCTGCTTCGGTTTCACTGGTCGAGTCCCCCTGGAGTCTTCAGGCATTTTTCCTGTTGAGATGAAGCAGCAGATTCTAGCACATTTAAGGACTTTGGAATCATACGCTCCCTGTTTCTGTCGCTGACAATCTGTGAGGCTCTGGGCAAACTATTCAATCCCTATGCTCCTCATTTTCTCCTCTAAGAAATGGGGATAATAATGCACCTACATCGTAGATTGGTAAAGATGAAGTGATACATATAAAGTACTTGGCATGTAAGTCTCAGGCCCAGGTCCCAATAAACGTTTATATTTTCATTAACACTATTTGAAGACAATTCTACCTGCCAAATGGATAAGGAACTTGAAGCCAGAGACCCCGAGGTAGGAAGTGTGATAATCGAGACACAAAGAGATGAGAACTTGGAACAGGGTGGAGGCTACATGATGGAAGAGAAGCACAGCTCAGAGATGCTAAGTAACAGAAACGCATCCATCCCTTCAACTATTCTAGGCACCTGGAATACAAAATGAACAGAACAGATGTTTTAGCGAGAGACGGATAAAACAAATCATTGGATACAAGTTGGGCATCCCAAATCTGAAATGCTCGAAAATGCACTGATAGGACACTCAAAGGAAATGCTCATTGGAGCATTTTAGGTTTCAGATTTGGGATGATCCACTGGTAAGAATAATGCAAATATTCCAAAATCGGAGACGCTTCTGGTCCCAGGCATTTCAGATAAGGGATAGTCAACCTGTAATACAGTCAGATGCTGGTAAGTACTATGGGGAAAAACTGAGGATAAGAAAGCTACAGGGTGTGAGAACTGGGATATAGGGTGACATTCCACCAGAGTCCTGAGGAAGCAGTGAGTAGAATGGCCCTGAGGCAAAAGCAAGCTTGGCTTCTTAGACAAACGCTGAAGAGGCCAGTGTGGCTGAGGCAGAGTGGGCAGGGGATGCTACTGGAGAAGGGGCAGGTTGACTTACAGGCAGAGATGACTGGCTGGTGATGGCATGATGGAAAAAGGAGGCACCGGAAGGTAAGGAAGTAAAATATTTTGCCTGCATTTCAAGGAACAGGCACTCCACCCCCTTCCCTTTGACCAGACCGGGTACCCAAGGAGTGGTTGGGGACAGAGGCTGACTCTGACTCATGGTTGGTCCAGGTCCGCATTCTGAGGGACGGTCTATTCCCTGCCTGGTGATACATGATGCAGAGCCAGGCATCTGTCAGCTGTCTTTAACCACAGTCAGGAATCAGAGAACGAACGTGCTTTGACCATTTCCCTACTCACTCCATATTCAATTGGCTTAAAAATCTTAACCATGACTAAAAGAAAACCTCAGAATTTGAGAACATCCTGGGGACCAGAAGAGGGTCTCCTAACCCAACATAGAGAAAATTGGCCCCCCAAAATAAAGGGTTTTGAGAAGTTGGTGCTTTCTTATGTTTTACTGTCATGAGTGTGAGTTTTACAGGTAGGAAAAAAGGCAAGGCCTTCTTGAAGTTAGACTGTGAGAAGGGGGTGCGGGAGAGGAGCAAGAACACAAGGCCACAGTTAGCAGGCGGGTTGGAAGTCCTGACTGGCGTGTTTGGCCTCAGAGGAAGGTTCTCTGGCAGCCTCCACAGACAAGTTTGGTTTTTTAAAGTGCCAAAGAGCCACGAATTTGCATGTTATTTGTGTGCCAGGCTTCACTTCCAGGTGTATGGGAAGAAATAAATGAATGAACTGTATTCAGACTCCTGGGTAAGAGGTGGACTCAGAAATCCAGACCACACCGAGGATCCAATCACTGGTCCAGCCTGGTCAGGAGACACAGACACAGACAGAGACAGAGCAAACAGTCACAGAGACAGGAAGACAGTGTTAGAGACACACAACATCAAATCCTTTCACCAGGGACCTTCCAGTCAAAGAGAGAAAGCAAGAGCCACAGTTTATTTTAAATAAGTCAGCTTTTTAAAAATTAGGAAGAATCACGTATTGATCGGCAGAAAAAGGCAACATCATCCCTGACTGATCTCCATCTTTGCCCCTCCGTCCTCTGCTTCAAGCTGTGTATGGAACCACATGCCTATGAGTCTGCCTTCTTGGTAAGGTGTGTTGCCTGGTGTTTGCTTAGCCTCCCAAATGAGTTCACTATGAAGTCTACAGCCTCTAATAGAGACTCTAAGATCCTGAGGACAAGGTGGCTTTGATTTCCACAGTCAAACCATCTTTTCACTCTACCCGTCAGGGTCCCCAAAGCCAGTGCTTAAACACAGGCTTTAAAACACCTAGCCTAAGGGGCTTCCTAGAAGTAAGACACCCAGAGTCTCAATCTACGAGGGGTGCACGATATCACCGGAAATAAAAAGGATGGAGAAAGCTGCATTTAACAGAACGCTGTGTAGTCGGAGAAAAACACTTCCACGAGGCCCCTGGGATAGAGGCTGAGAACCGCCACCCAGTCGAAGAGCTAAATGCTGAGGAAGGTATTTTTGTTAAGGGCCGAGTGGGGCATCAAGTTTGAGGCCAGAGACAAATGATTTGGGAGCACAAAGGAGGTTTCAGGCTGCCATGGGCCATCCTCCTCCTTCCACAATAGTTTTTCTTTTTAAATTTTTTTTTGTGTTGCTCAGGCTGGTCTCAAACTCTTGGGCTTAAGTGATCCTCCTGCCTCAGCCTCCCAATGTACTGGGATTACAGGTGTGGGTCTGTGCCTGGACCACAATGTTGTCTTTCTAAATAAATGTTGAATAGTTACCTCTACCTCATCACCGGCAGGCCAGAAAGAAGCCGCTTTTATTCCTGGTTTGAGAAAAAGCACATCATTCAGCTGCCCTTGGTGGCTACACGTCTCAGTCCATTCCTGATGCAAAAGCTGAATTACAATACAAATATTGTGTGGACTTATACTATTTTCTGATTATAAGGGCTGCAGATGTCCAGATGAGGGATTTTAAGACCATGTGATTGGGGAAAGCATCAGAGATGGGATTTGCATACAATTACTCAGTAGGTGTTTGTGGGAGGAATAAAAGTAAGTTCAATGAGGGGTCTCCAGTGGACTGGACCCTGGGCTTCTTGAGTACCACTCTCCCACTCTTTCCTTTCCTAGTGCTTGTGTTCTGCAAAGAGTAAGGCGATCTCCAGAAGTAAAGGAATTGATGACTACTCCTTAGATTGGAATGGAGAGAAGTCTGCAGCTAAGGTCTCTGTGTGGCCTTCAACATTTAACTTTCTGCCTTGATTGTCTTCCCATCAGCATTATGGCCCTTCATACTATTCCGGAATCTTAGAGTTTGGTAAGACCCCTGGGCACCTGGTCGAACCACTCACATAACTGGAATTTCCCCTACCATCTCCCTGACGGGCCAAAGAGATAGCCCACAATAACATCTTAAGGTCCCTCCCCAGCTCAAAGCCTCCTAGCCACTCTTCTCTCTCACAAAGGATATATGTATCAGGTCTTTATTTTAATGGGCGAGTATGACCCTCTGTCCCATGTTTCCTTCTCTACCTCCGAAACTGGGAATGGCAGTGTGTTCTTAGAAGACAGATGTTAGGAGTCAGTGAAACGAGGCCCTGGACTGTAATAAAGGGTGCTGGTATGAGCCTTGTCCCTTCATGTATTTTTGGAATTCCAAGCTGTGGATGCATTGCTCCTAGGCAGGGAAATAGGTAACCTTCTGAGGAGTTCAGCACATGGCCTGTTGGAGTCAAGGATAGGGCCCAAAAGCCTAACACTTCTTTTCCTGACTCTCTTGGGTATGTAAACTCCCAGGGTGAAAGCATCATACTCCACCTCATGTTGGTCCATCCAAATGGACAAAACAAAAAGACAAGCCCCAGATGTCAGTCCTCTCTCTTACTCCGGCAAGACATATTTAAGAGCTGGAGGGATGGCACAGGACCAGAAGTTGAAACGTTAAAAACACTGGGACTCTTAAATGAACTCTTCACCCTTTACCCACTAGAGCCTCTTAAAGGCCGTGTAAAACCAGGCGGGTAATGCACAGGCTAGGGGAGGGGGTTGGTGACCAGGTTATCTGTTTCTACCTCAGGATCACTAAAACTTGGGGCTAACATTGCTGGGGGCAGTGGGTAGATGCTGGCATGATGATGGTGGCTAAAGAATAGAGAAATTGATTCCACATAGAAGTATGAAGCATCTCATATAGAGGAGTCAATTGACACAGACTCCCCAGGCAGGATGAGGGGAAAGTACTCTCACATTCAACCCTAAATAGGCCTCCTGGGAACAATGGTGGGACCCAGGTGACAAATGGGGTATAAGTAGCCTCTGTGCCTCAGACCATGCGTTTTTCAAATGGGTAAGAAAGGTCTGTCTGATATTCTCTGTTCAGGGTCCCAGAGTGATTCTTGGGACTGTGGTTTCGGTTGAGGTCTCTATAGCTAGCATCTAGCGCTTATCATTCCTCAAATATTTGTTTTTTAGGGAAGGCAGGTGAATATGAGCACTGAACACAGAGGAAAGAGGAAGACAGAGAAAATAGGCTTATTTAGTTTAAAGCAGATTACAAAGGATTTAGTAACATGCCTTTGGGCCATAAGATGCAGCAATAACTTTTCTCCCTTGGTCATCAAGGCCTACCCCTAAGCAAAGGGGAAAGTGTCCAGATACCACTCCTGCTCTTGTTGGCTAGCTCAGGAAAGAATGGTCCACTGTAAGTCTGTATTGGTTCCCTCTGAGCCACCTGGGCCACAGCCTGTGTCAGCTTAGCCCACACACACCAGTCTCAGGGTCACTAACTTCTGCCTTGTGCAAAACTGTGTTAGTCAGAAAGGGGCCCAAATTCAGACAGGCTCAACAATTCCTTATATATTTTTCAAAGTGCTTTTGTTGCATGTTTCATTTTCTGCTATACATGGCAATAAATATTTGTTGCTTTGGTCTGTACAAAAAGTCTGTGAGGAAGGTAAGACAGATGTTATCTAAATGGACAAACAATAAATACAGAGAACAATCTTGTTCTGAGTCCCCCAGACAACAGTGAAAGAATCTGAAAAAGGTCTTTTGATTCATAGTCCAAATCTACACCATATTGCCACCTTTCGAGTTGTTGCTTACAGAGAGTAAGCACCAGGAACCAGATGATATTCCAAGTCCTGCGATGAGCCTGCATGCCACAGCTTTCTAAGAGAGCATGTGAAGGTCCCCAGCACCCACAGAGAAAGCTATTTATTTCCTACAGAAACTCAGAGAAAAAGAGAAAGGGAAAGGGAGAGAGAGAACAAACACAAAACGTGCTCTTTCCCCAAATGCAGGCGGTTGAAGGCGGGACATCTAGTTGCTGGGGTGGAAACAGTAACATTCAGTTAACAATGGACTATTTAAAAAAAAAAATAGTTTTCTTTTCAAATTGTAACTTGTGGTAAAACATAGAAAAATGTACTAAACGAGCTTGTATAAAACAGTAAAATTTTCAAATAAGCCCAGGAAAAAGCACAATGCTGGAAAGAATGGGGTACAAAGGCGGGGGGGGAGAAAAGATTTCATACAAAACTACCTATTACAATACAGAAAAAAGTATAAAATGTTCCTACTTTGGAACTTAAGTACAAAATGACACTGGCACTGGATCACTTCACTGTCTAAGCCTGAGGAGCTCTCAGAGGGTGGGGAGAGACGCTAGAAAGAACAAAAGGAATCGAAGTCTTTAAATCTCAAGTTGATCAGTCCAAACTCCACCCGTTTTTTTTTTTTTTTTAGCTGAAAATATCACCTCCCTCTGTAACGTCTACCCACATGGCAAAGTTCATCCAGGCCTCAAAATATTCCATTAGGTAGTCCACAAACACCCTACACATAGGGGTTGGGATCTCTGCGTGCTGCAATGTGGAAAATGGAAATAAATCTACAGGCTAAATGGTGAACACATTCAGTCTTTTTTTTTTTAAAGAAAAAAAGCATATCCCTGTGAAAATTTATACATATATATATGTGTCTGTATATATATATATGTATATATATGAAATTCTCTGTGGTTAGAAACATATTTAAACTAACTAGCCACAGACCAAACTAGACCTGCATTCATCCAACGCTGGAATTCTATGCTAAAGACTAAGGTCCTTCTTCTTCTTGGTCAGAAGTAGGCAACAGTAAAAGTGGTACTTTGTTGTGCCACTGAAACTGCTCCCTGGGTGGGTCTTCCCCGTATCGTGTGTTGGTAGCACATGCAAACCCCTGCTTTTAAGGAAAGGACTGCTTGGAACTTTGGGACCTGTCCAGAGCTCATGTGCTGTGCCTCTGGATAGGATGAAGCTACAGATGATAAACAGCTATGTATAAAAGCAGATGGATTCTGTGTAGGGACATATAAATAGGAAAGGTCCTGGAGAAGCGGACTTAGGCATGTGCCCCAAAGTCCTGTTTACAGTCACATTCCTGACTATACATCTTGAAAATTGTGTGTGTGTGTGTGTGTGTGTGTGTGTGTGTGTGTGTGTCCATGTATATGCTGGTGGTTTTTATCCCTATCTTTTGCTCACGTCCTTTCCTACTTCTTAGTAAGGCCTAACAACAAGAGTTTATATGAAACCAAGATTCTTTCCAAGCTTTTCTCAGTCTCATAATTAGGGACTGAGTGAGGCTGGAGCCCTTTGAAAACAAGATGGCAGAACTGAAGAAGTGAAAAGCAGTCTCTCTCTTCAGCTTAGGGATGTCCCTCACCCCTTTCACAGCACCGAAGTTTCTTTGCAAAAATAGTATCTGAGATACAAAAGGAAAGGCAGATGTGCTTGTGAATGCATCTCGCCAGGGCCTGGTCCAGGATCAAGGGTGTTACAAGAACAGAGGGCTGGGAGCAGCTGTTTCCAAGGTCTCTGGCTGTAGTCCACAAAGAGCTGGTCCCCCACATGGTCAAGGTCTGCTAACTGAGACAGTCTTCACAAGAGTTTCCGGTGGAGGATCTCCCAGGCCATCCGCTTCCGGAAGTACGGCATGTGTTGCTGTAGGGACACAGACACACCCGTAATTACCACTGCTTCTGTCTAGACCCAATACTCCCTTCCCCGTACTTCTTTCTTTCTCAAGGTTGTGCTTGTGGTCTTTCAAATTATTCATTCTTGGTTACATATGGGTTTTTTCTTTCCATTGCTTTTTCTACTGTAATTTCTATTGCTATTTTCCATTGCTATAGCCTTAGAAGTTACACTGGCCATTTCTAGGAGAAACCAGGGGATGCCCAAATGTCTCCAAAAATTTTGAGAATGGTGCCTAATAAGTCCTCTTGAACTTTTAAGAGGATATGAGCCTAGGCGTAAAAATAAAAAATTCACTTTTTAGGAGAAGAATTTAGGGAACTTCAAGAGTCAGCTCAGGCTGGTCTAGACAAAGGGCTACGGTAGAGAAATCTGATAAGACATTGAATCAAACAGAGGTAGAAGGCTAAAGTGGAGAACCTATCAGAATAAACCATCATCTCTAGTCTCAGTCCACTTCGGTCTCTGAGGGACCATGTGGACAGAAATGACCGATCACTCACTAAGAGAAGACTGACAAACGTCATCAAGTGAGGGGTCAGGGAAGGGGGCAGCATAACGAATTGCATTAGGAGATTGAGTTGTGGCCTATTCCCAAACCTGACTACTAACTAAATGCAAGGAAACTAAAGAAACTTGCTCTGGCCCCAGTTTTCTCTAGAAGTAGGCAGAGAAGGTTCTGCTCTTTTACTACAATAAGTGAGGTGAGGAAACCCAGGACATGGCCTATCACTAACTTCCTTTCATGATGTGGCTCAGGCAGTAACCATCAGTGTTATGAATCATAGGCGCAAGCCTGGTAGAGGTAAGGGCAGAGGCCCCTAAAGAGACAAGCATCTGCGGGCCCCCTGGAGCTCCCTGCCGAAGGCCCGGATCACCTGTGTGAAGCTGATCGGCCTGTCTTTGGTAATACAGTCAGCGTATTTGCAGGCAAACATTCCACAGTCACTTCCATTCATCTGCTGTGGAATTTCCTGGAAGACCAACAACAACAAAACGGTGTCTGTCCAAGCTTCTTTCCTTCTTACATTAAAAATAAGAACCAAAGGATATAACTTGTACAGGTTTCTCTAAGTTATGAACAAATGACCCTGGCCCTCCAGTCATGACAACAGAGGCTCAGAGAAACAAAATACAGCATTCTAGTCAGGTCTGTGTCCTTCATACTAACCACACAGAGTACCTCAGACTTCCATGGCATCTAAGGGTATAAAACTACTCCCTCCCCAAGAGGCCAAATAATCGGCAAACATTCCCACAGGAGTGAAAAGCTTAGTAAAGTATCTGGGCATTTGGAAAACTTAATTCTACGTAAGAAACACACCACCGGTTTTTCTACGGAGAGTTTAATCTATCCTCCCCGAGAAACCAACCAACCAAGCTGAAGTCAAGCTAGACACTAAGACAGGTGGGCCAGGAACGAAGCAGTAAAATCCTATCCTCCTCAAATACCCTGCTCTTAGGATTTTTATTTCATAAAGCTGAAAGGTACCTGGCTTTTCTTGCTGAATAGCTGCCAGCCATTGGTGTCAAACTCCTTCCTTTTCTTGTCAATGCTTTCTTGCTTTAGGTATTGCCTAAAGGTATCAGGAGAGAACGAGATAAGCAGTGGAGAACACTGATGACAGCTGCCAACCTAAGAATGGGGCTGACAATCCCTAGGAACAACTTTGCTTCATCTGCTCCTCTGGGGAAAAGAGTATATAATGCTGCGCAGGGAATCCCGGGACTGCTAAGTTTTCTCCAGAGCTGAGCTTGCCTCTTACAGTGTCCACTCTGTCAACTCAAAAGGAACATGCCCTCTGCCTCTAATAGTCAAGCTCCTTCTACCTACCATTCCTTCTGAGGAAAAACATTTTTTATTCTTTTCCTTGGTTTATATGGTCCTTTAGTACTCAATCTAATGGATGAAAAATGTGTTTCTGGTACTATGAGGGTTTATATACTATTGCTAGGCTTGATTCTCCTATGTAAAATTTAAATCCAAATCAACAATGTACTGAGTGCACACCTTCGATAGAGCACTCTTTTTAAGTGCAAACTGTTCACCATCGTGGCATCTACTTCCTCCTGGCCATCAGAGTGGTACGGTGAGGAATAGGTGTTTTGGAAAATGAAACAGGTGGGGCATAAAGAGATGTGCATTCTGGTTTCCACCTGAGCCACTAACTAATAGGACCTGGGCAAATCAAAGGCACCTCTGTAGGTCTTGGTCTCTTCATCTGAAAAATTAAGAGGTTGGATTAAATGATTTCTCAGTAGCATCTGTATCTTTATATCTAGTCTATATTTTAGTGCATTAGGACAGTAATTGCTCCCATTAGGAGTAATACTATCCTAATAATACTGGTATTATTATATCATTTTTAAACTATACTTAGATATAAAACATGCATTTTTGCTTGATATAAATATTTTATTAATCACTCCATTGAAGGTATCAAACAACTGAAATCAATTACCGGGAAAAACACCACATATACACCGAGACCAAACTCTTCTGTCCTCAACTCCCTACTTACAAGAGGATTCTGCAGGCTTCATTGTTTATCCCACCCATAGAGTCGTAATAGGTAATATTCTTCTTTCTAAAGTCCACAACCTGAGAAGAAGAAAAAAAAATTGTGTGTTCATGAAGTGAAGAAAATTGGTTTCTCAGATTTTCCTTCCCCTGGCCTTTGGAACCTTTTACCAAACTTCCTACAAAATCATGACAAGTTTGACTTTGCATTATACTATGCTTAATCTGCAGGAAAAACAATGAGGGGTTATTTACACACAACTGTGATGGCACTGATCAATGGGTGGTCTCGTTATTGCTGTGAAGCCTTTTTCTAATGCTCATTCTCTCCCTCTGCAAGGTGGGCAACAGTGAAGAAACAACATGCTCTTCAGGGAATGTAAGTTGAGTATTTCAAGATCATTTCCACGCAGTTTCAGAAAGATGGTGAAAAGATTCTGGGTTTTATTTCTTTATTGAGAATTTCCTTTTGGCTTTATGCTTTTCGAATATAATCGAAAACAGACTGTGAAATAACTTTTACAGTTTCATTAACACATTAAGATAATGCTCGCAGAGTCATAAAAATATTAAATTACCAAGTATGCAAGGCAAGTCACGATTAGGCTGAAAATAAGTCAGAGAATCTGAGTGGCAGCATCATTAATAAGTCACTTTTCCCCCATGCATTCCTTTAAGGGTGCTCAGACAAACTATGACTCTCTCTTAAATATTTCCAGAAAAGGAAATTCCACAGCTTTCTTCAAAATCTATATTCTAATCTTGACAGGAAGTTCATTGATCTGATTTTAGTCAACCTACTACTAAACGATCTTTCTGTCAATAATCAGGGAACAAGCAGAACTACCACTCACCACCGTCTGTGTGTTCTGTAGTTACACAGCTTTCAAATTTTATCCACAATGAAAGGGTACTCACAGCTAGACACCAGTGCACTCCCAGGTGAATGGGCACCAAAAGAATGTCAACAGAAAACACATCTACTTTCTTTGTCCAACGTTTCACTGCCTGATAACCAGCCGTTTTCAATTTAGTGAAGAAAAAGGTATTAAATGCATGCACACTTGGCAAGCCTTTCTCTTTACTTCGCTCCATCAGCATATTCATGTAGAAATTGATGATCTGTGGGAAGAAAATACAGCTATTAGAATATACACTCAAGCCTTTCAAAACAGTTGCAGTTGCTGTACTGAACAGCATATGCAATTGTTTCCCAATCAACTAAATTAAGTCTTCAGTATCCAACAGATTCATTTCTCCAAATCAAATTCTGACTAGAAGGAGGACGGCTGAAATGCTATAAATGGTGAAAAGAGAAAAAGCTGACATATATATTATGGGGTTGGGGGTTCAAATGGGCAGATGCTGGCGCAGCCTGTAGAACACTGAAGGTTGGGTCAAAAGACTGCAGAAAGACAGGGCTATTAGGTGAGGCTTACAGAAAAGGAAAGGAAGGAGTACAGAACAAGAAAAGCAGTTTAGTAAGGCACATTAGCAGTTACCTTAATCTGCTGGAACTGTGTGAGCAATTTAAGTAGATACTGAGCTCAGGTAGAGCCTCGTGTTAGTCAAGTTAAGATCAAGAGTTCAAACCTTATATGAGGGCCACATAGTTTTGCACAAAGATAGAAAACTCTGCTCCGTGGTTAAAGACAGCCTTTTCAACTTAATAAGCCATCCTGCAGAGGCAAACTCTTTTGGTCTCAAGTAGAACTACGTGACAGGAGAAGCCATCAACTGTACTGGAAAAATACCTGTAAACTGATAGTAGCTCAGCAATGTCACCTTTATAAAGAGGCACACATGGAAGTATAAAAACCTACCTTACATGAGACCTAAAAGTCAGGTTACAAACATGAAGAGTAAAGTTCTACCCCAGAATCTCTATGGTTAGCTTTCTCATCTTGGTTAATTCCACTTATGCCTTCAACATCAAGTGTGAATGAAAGAAATTACAATGCCTGAGTGAGGAGATGTGTGATTCTGTTAATGAAACGACCTCTCTAATAGTGACTATGCTGTGTATGGTTCCATTAGGTCCAGGACTCCTTGGTGCTAAAACTTGAAAGTTATTGTGCCGGAAGTTACTGCATACTTACTTTATGTGGCCAGCTGAGGTCAGGCCAGCATCTGTCAACTGCAAGGAATGAATGGGCTAACTGATCCACGGCTTGGAAATATGACTAAGAAAACAGGCACATTTTTCAGAATGCTTTTTGGGGAATGGGAAAATGCCCCTGTTCTTTGACAAATATTTACACACAAGGATGCCAGAACAGTGAGCTACTGCCCAACGGTGAGCAACTACATGCTGGGGAGGCAGCAGGGAACACTGCCAGGAACATACCAGAGCATGGTCTAGACCAGAGAAAGGGCCTATAGATGAGGATGCCTAGGCAGCTGCAGGAAAACCACACTCGCCATGAGGCAGAGCTCTGAGGTAGGGGAAGGCTACGACTGAAGAAAGACACTGTTTTCTCTGCAGCTCTGATGACTGAGCAACAGGCCCAGCTGGCCCAAACAACTCAGGTTGTGGCTTATTCTCTGCCTAGTGTGATGCCTAATAGATAACTGGAGCTCCGTTGTTATAGATAATGATAATCAAGACACAATTCGAATCAGGTATTTCTCAACTATGTTTTCAGTCTAACTCTGCCCCTCAGGATAATGGTGCTAAAAGATGCCTCTAGGTTTCTGAAGGCAACCATGAATGCAGTAGGATCTTCTCAGCACATACAGATTTCTAATGAGGAAAAAATCAGCAAGAAGGAATTCATTTATTCTTCTGGCCTTCTACCCATCTTGTAATGTTGGCCATGGTATAGGGTAAACCCTTCACTCCAAGGCATAAGCAGTTGACCTTCTGGTCACTGTAAGCCAAACCTTCCATAGGGACAGACACCTCATATATTATAGTAAGAAATAAGGACTAAAGGGTGAAGTGAAAGGAATCAGGTAGAGAGATAAGGACAGTGAAGTACACGACAGCTATGGAGATTCATCTCCCTCAGGTGCCTATCAGAGATGTCTTACCTCTAGAATCATAAGCCTGAAGTTAAAAAAAAAAAAAAAAAAGAATGACAAAACAAGTGTCATGCTCTATATCACTATTCTATTTTTCAAGAGGAAAGAGTTCCAGAAACCAAGGAAGCTTAGCTGGACTTACATAGCCTGCGTTTTGCTTGTTTGTTCACCTTGAGAGGGTTCACTAGAAAGCTGAAGACCAACACAGCTGAACAAGACCAGAGAACCCCAGTGATCAGACACCATGGTATCTGTTCCCTCTGAGAATTCCTCTTCCATTGCTGCACCAAACCAAAGCTTCACCACTGAGAGGGAAATGGCCTCCTCCAAAGTCAACTAGTTAATTAGCTCTAAGGAGTGATCTAGATTCTTTTTTACTTCTCTTATATCCCAGTAGGAGGGATTTGGTGACCTCAAGGCTTCCTATATTAGCTGAGAATGTAAATCTGACATCGGAGGCAGAATTCAGATTCAAGTCTTTCTCCTCAATTTTTTAGCTATTGCTCCATCCAAATGACGAAAATTGCCATAGTTCAGCCAAGACACAATCATACCAAAAAAATAAACTAAGAGTTAGAGAACAAAAAAGTCCTACATGTCATCTCACAGAGGAGGGCTGAAGATGAAGGAGAAAGAAATGAGAGAAGGGATCACAGTGCTCAAGATGAAAGAGGAGCAGTGATAGCCACAACATTTGCTTGCATTTTGTGAAGACAACAGTCCCCCACGCCAAGTTGGCCAAAGCCCTTTCCTCAAACAAGACTCTCTTAGCTCCAGCAGATCCTAAATTCCCTTTGAAATAAGGAGCTAAAAGTAGACCAGCCCTGTGCTTGCTGTTTGTCTTGCCAATATACCACAATCTGAGGACTACTGTCGATGTTAGTCCACCTGTCACCCTTTCTGGAGCCCACACTTGCCTCTGTTTGCTCACTGTGGCTCGTGGTGCTTAAGGAGCTGCCCTTCCTGCTGCCTTCACAGCCTTGGCCATAGCGTCTACTTGTCTATGCACTCCTGTTTAGGGATGGCTGGGTTGTTTATGGTGTCTTGTTCCTTTGAGATTTTATTTGAAGAGCTGCCAGGCTGAAGCTGAAAAAAGCTTTGCTTTTTTTTTTTTTTTTTTTTTTTGAGACGGAGTTTCACTGTTGTTGCCCAGGCTGGAGTGCAATGGCATAATCTCAGCTCACCGCAATCTCCGCCTCCTGGTTCAAGCAATTCTCCTGCCTCAGCCTCCCGAGTAGCTGGGACTACAGGCGCACATCACCATGCCCAGCTAATTTTTGTATTTTTTTTTAGTAGAGACGGGGTTTCACCTCGTTGACCAGGATGATCTCGATCTTCTGACCTTGTGATCCGCCCGCCTTGGCTTCCCAAAGTGCTGGGATTACAGGTGTGAGCCACCGCGCTCGGCACTAAAAGCTTTTCTTTAAGAGAAAAGCCCACAATGTTCTCAAATTAAAGATTCAATCCTTTTCCTGTATGTTACCACAATGACATAAATGACCAATGCTATTTGTATCTTCCTTCTTCCCCAGTAAACCAGCTGAACTATTGTTTTCTCATGCTTTTAGAAATAAAACATTTCCATTAACAGTGAAGTCTTGATTTTTAGCCATTGTTATGTTTATACTTTGAACCCTTCTAATTAGCTTGAGAAAAAATATTCTACAAGGCCTGGGCGTAACAATACTTCCGAGTAGAGATCAAGTCAACTTTTGGGGGGACAAAAGTCATTTTTCCAATTTTACCTCTGTAGATTTTCACCTTGACCTCCCCATTCTGATTTTCAAATTAAATTTACCCTTGTCAACCACGAAGCCTGAGAGACTAACTGGACAGCAGCATTTGAATAGTTTGGTTCAGGTCATCCACTCACAGGATCCAACCTAGTAGTAAGTACTAAAGAAACCAAGAAGGCAGGCTTCCCTCACTGTGTTCAGACATACAGAATTTGTCTCACATGCCAATTCAATGAACAATTTATTAGAATTATAGCTAAACTGTTAGAGAAAGACGGGCAAGCAACATGTTTATGGAGAATAACTACTATTCTCCATGTGACCCTGCATAAATCCCTCGTTTATCAGGGCTAGTTCTATTAAGAAACACTTCAAAGAGATAAACAATGATATGGAAGCCAATGAGTCATGTTAGAAAACTTTAGTTCTGATCATTTTATTCCACACATGGTGGATCACCATATTCACTTAACTAATTTATTTCATTTTGCCTCGTGTCTTCCCTATGCAATCAGCCTTTATACTCGAAGGAAAACCTGTTCCTAAGGCTGGTTTGTCTAGTTGAACTTCATGTTTTTTGCAAGCTGTTTACTCTCTTTACTGAGCATCACTCACATTTAACTACTCCTTGGAAACAATTGACAAACTATGACCACTACCAATTCCCTCCATTCCCATCAAAGAAATATATTCGGAAAGTAAGAATGCTAGACAAAGTTGGGTGTGGGCTCTTGCCTGTAATCCTAGCACTTTGGGAGGCTGGGATGGGAGGATCGCTTGAAGCCAGGGATTCGAGACCAGCCTGGGCAACATAGTGAGACTTTGTCTCTAAAAAAGCCAGACCTGGTGGCACATTCCTGTAGTCCCAGGTCCTTGGGAGGCTGAGGCAGGAGGATCACTTTAGCCCAGGAGTTTGAGGCTATTGTGAGCTATGATCATACCACCGTACTCTAGCCTGGGTTACAGAGTGAGACCCTATCTCAGGGGAAAAAAAAAGTTCATCAAAATGCATGTGCTCCGGTTCCAGATTTGAATTCTGCAATAAAAATCAGGTGACTTTGGTACTTCCCTACAAAGTTTTACTTCGCATTTTCTACTACTAATCAAGTAAGAATATGCTCTCTATACACCCGGCTATTGTGATGCTGAATAGCTGAAAGACATCTCTTTCTTTTCAGAAACAAAGCTTACCAAGCAGGTAATTAGCCTGCCTGGTTAGCTGTGGCTTCCGTGCAGTTACAGTCTGCTATGTAGATTCTATCTTAGTTCCTACTTCGCCATCCTCCTGTCCCCCATATTTTCTATGAGTTTGCTCCTCATGGGCCTTTCACTAGCTGGTGAAGTTAGAGATACTGTATTCCA